GGGCTAATGAAGACGGACATACGCCATACAGTGTGCCATGAGGGAAATTTTGCCCGGGCAGCGGCACTATCGCCTGCTCTTATATCGAATTCCAACTGCCAAGGGATCTTTTACGTGCATTCTAATGTAAACACGGGACCTCGAATGTTCGTCTCATCGAAAATCCAGATGAACTTTCTCGGCCAATGCAGGGATTGAACACCCGACCTCCAGGCTATCAAGCCAGCGTCTTAAACATGCAGCCACCGTGGCTCCCCCTGGGCTAATGAAGATGGGCATACGTCATACAGTGTGCCAGGACAGCGGCAACTGCCAAGAGTCTTTCTACGTGCAGAGAGGATAGCGCGTGCGCGTTGAATCGTAATGTCTGTCATTGAGTCAACTGGCGTGGTTTCGATTCCCTGGATGCATGACAAGGAGTAGGGTCGCCTGTCCAACCTCGTGGGTTTCCTCCCACTGCTAGTGCTAAAGAATCCTAAAGACTTTCTCTACCAACACCGAGATCGAACATTGGGCCCCCGGGCTATCGAGCCAAGGTCTTACTCACCGAGCCACAGTGACTCCCGTTTATAATCGGGGTTTGAGAAGAGTTATAGTTTTTTTTCAGTTACAAATATACACCGATTCTTACGTATATGTTCATTAAAATTACTAGAGCATTATAAGTTGATTGATTGAACAGATAAATTTATGAGATCTCGGACTGGATCGTATTTGAACGCGGTTTGTAAGATCTCCGGGGAATTATTGTCATATTCCAAATGTTTAAAACTTTCTGGGGTTATTTACTGGGGCATAATGAAGAACCCTATGGTATTTCAGATTTTAAGGATGTTTCATTTCGAACGTGTTTCTCGGGGTCATTTTTCTGTTACATTTTTGTTCCCAAATTTATATAGCGAATTTGTTAACAACTTGCTCCACGAGAATGTTTTAGAGTTAGCGCTTATTGGGTAAGGGCTCTTGCAAGCCTCCGCCTATTTTATACTATATATTTGATTTTAAAAATTAAGTGCATTAAATCGTCTAGCTTTCTTGGTCTGTGTCAGTTTTTTCATCCATCACAATTCAGAATATTCAGATTAATAGTGACCAATAATTGTATTTGTTTTGAGGTGTTTTAATCCAAACACTGGTCCTTTATTTACTAAATTTACTGTTAACCCTAGAATATATAACTTTTGATGTGATACTGTATATTATCCTGCAATTTATCATCTTATGTATTCTTATGATTTATCTTATATTGTCATACGACATATCATTTTATTATGTATTCTGATGGATGTTTTATATTAACACTGTACTTCTATCACTTTCTGTATTTGGTGATATAGTTGATACTATCACTGCACCTATCGTTTTATGAGATCTCGTGAAATAATTTTGTTTCACTGTACTTTTTTATCTTCTGCAATTAATGAGTTAATTGATATTTTAACTGCAATCTATTATCTTCTGCAATGAATGAGTTAATTGATATTTTCACTGCAATCTATTATCTTCTGTAATTATTGAGTAACATGCACTTCATATCTCTACTGCGCTTTATTAGCGTCTATAAATTATGAATTACTGTATATTTTCACTGCAATTTATTAACTTCTGCAATTAATGAGTTACTTTATATTTTCACTGCACTTTATTATCTTCTGTAATTAAACAGACATTATGCAAGAGCTAAATCTGCCAACGCAGGTCTTTTTTCGGGCCTTAAAGTAGTTAAGTCTTGAACTAAATATCATCCACAGTCTTAGACACTGAAAACAGGAATTATTTGTCCATTTAAATCAACATTGATGTTGTGATCTTATCGGGAAAAGATGGGCTTCTGATATCCAATATTTAAGACAAAATACATATTTTACCATTGGTACACGAATCGTGTACCAGAATGCGTATCGACGCCATTTGTAACAGGGGACTCGAAGAACGAGGCTAGACATATTCCACAAGTCGTGTCAAACGGCAACCTCATATTCTTATCTGAAGAGCATGCGCAATAAATACTACCGGTAAAGACTCAAATAACCAGACAATAGAGATTGCCATTCGATTTGAGACTTCTGGCGTATTTGAAATTAGAGTAAAAATGGAAACGATTGAATGTAAATCAGTTTATATACATTAATATTGCATTTTTATATGCGTTGCGATCCATTTGTGTCAATTTCTAGGTCCCAAATATTAGTGATTTATCTCCTTTAAGTGTTATATAAATTATTAATCAGAAATTAATTAACTTACAGTGATCATAATCAACTCTCGATGCCATCGGATGGCTCCGATATTAAGCAAATTTAAATAGGTTTTGCGGTTGATGAAATAACCGTAAAAATGGAAAATCGAGGCTTTGTTTATTATTGTAACAACGGTAGCAGTGATAATCGATGCTATACTGTCATTGTATTGCCGATAACTAGGCTCTGAGTGAAATAATTTGACAAAATGTTCAACATATTCCATTTTTACTGTCTATTTTTAGTTATAATCTAATCTTACCTAATTCCCCTTTAATGGGTTACTTTATAGATTTTTAACTAGATGCAAAACATTATCACTGCTTTTTATCAACGTATGTAGTAGACGAGTTACTTTATATTACTACTCCATTCTGTATACCTGTTGTTTTGATGAAATGTCTTACACGGAGCCACGGTAACTAAGTGAGTAAGACGCTGGCTCGTTAGGCTGGGGATCGAGTGTTCGATCCCAGTGTTGGCTGAGAAAGTTCATCGGAATTTTCCGGCGTGATTTTCTCTTGTCAGTGGTGCAGGACGGAGGGTTGACAAGGACAGCTGTCTAGTCGTTCGGATGGGACGGAAAACCGAAGTCCCGTTTACACATTAACGTGCACGTAAAAGATCCCTTGGCAGTTGGAATTCGATATAAGAGTAGGCCGCTGTCCGGGCAAAATTCCTCCATAGAACACTGTATGGCGTATGCCCGTCTTCATTAGCCCAGTCGGAGCAGAACAGTAGGACGTTAAACCCCATTTCATTTCACCATCTTCTGTATTTGATGCGATACTTTATATTTTCACTGCACTTTATCTCCTTCCATATTTGATGCGATGCTTTATAATTTGACTCCCATGTTTTATAATAAGATATTTTATATTTTCACTGCCCTTTATCGTCTTATTTTTTGTAATAAGATACTTTCTATTTGTATCACATTCTGTATTTGATGAGATGTTTTATATTATCCCTACACTTTATCACCTCCTGTATTTGATGATATGCTTTGTATCATCACTACACTTTATCGTCTTATGTAATCTGACGAGATAATTATTTTTTGGCACTGCAATTTTTCATCTTATGTATTCTGGTGAGATACGTTTTATTATTACTGCACTTTATCATCGTATACATTTTAATAAGACACATTCTATTATCACCGCATGTTTATTAGAGTGTTTATATTATCACTACACTTTATCCCATTGTTTTATACACTGAATTGGTCGTATCAACCGTTATCAAGTCCTTACGTGTTGCTATTTTATGGTATATGAAGTTTTTCTTGGCAATATTTAACTTATTTATTGATGCTTTGAAAACAATAAACTGATTTTAGTTTGCGCAGCAATTGGAACTATCGATTTGTTTTCTATTTTGAATTAATCAAAATAATCCCGTTTTACAGATATTATATAATTGGAATGTCATGCCGAAAAATGGAAACTATTAATGTGATAGATATTCAAAAATACAACAAAGGGTTGTGAGATATTAACGTTATATGTATATATATACAGAGAATACTGGTTTTCTATAAAATAAAATTATTCCTAACATTCTTGGCATATTTAAACACAAAACACAGATTTCTTTCTTAATAGCACGCACATATATAATTCTATAATTACACTGAAATGTGTTAACAATGCATATGTAGACCTTGTATCACGATTTACGGCATCTTACTGAAAACTAAATGTGGTAATCGGTTTAACATCGAAATTACTGGTCAAAACAGTCCTTTACTTCATATCCATTTTATATCTTTACATTCTCATTATCTTTTCCGTATTGTGATTTTTCTAATTCACGAAATTGGGTATTGGCGGTCCTCTGTTGCCATATTTTTAAAGGAATAAAGTAAAATTATAATTATACTTATTCGATATTTCAAGTTATATATACAAAGTTATGTTTTTATACATAATTTAAAATTTGTATTAAAGAGGAATAGTCCTTCAACTCTCACCTTTAGCTCTCAGATCATAATTTTAAGAGAATGAAATAAACTATAATATTTTGAATTATATGTGTGTATATGTTTAAACACCACTGTTAATAAATCCATAATATATTAGGTAGTTTAATAGTGATGGTCTATTTCTATAACGCATATCATTATATGTAAAGATACTATGTCCTTACAGAAAAAAACGCCATGCTTTTATACTCATATTATCTGATTTTCTTTTTTAAACATATTCCGTTTAGCAAATACTAAGCAAATTTCAAAATACATTAGCAAACAAATGCATGAAAACAGAAAACTTTAAATGTCATACAGCAAACATGGAATTGATTTATATATTCATGGCCAAATCACTTCTTTATAAGGTGACACGGCTTGAACTACAAAATGTCGCCAAATTTCGTTAAGGCGACCGAAACTAAATTCGGTTTTCAGTGAAACGAGATCCGTTCATAATAGCGAGAAGTGGCCGAGAAATGGCTAATTGGTTTAAATTTCGTACCGATAAAAGATTTATTTGACGAGCAAATTTAATATCTATTATTTAAAAGTTGACTCAGAATTAAAATGACATCCACTTTCTTAAACGTATTTACATTTATATAATTATGGCTTTTAACTAGCGATCGCGTGCCATTCACGCGGCACGTTCTTGTCAAATGTCTAAGGAGCGGGGCGGAGCTAGAAAAGTGACGATGTCTGATTGGAGGATGGAGTGTCAGTTAACGGAGTTTCTTTCTTGGTCTCCGCAAATGATGGATTCAGTAAAACAAACAAAACGGAAAGATAAACAAATGAAATGACAGACTAACGGCCTTATATATCAGTGAAGATAAAAGCTACTGTTTCACAACACGGTCAAAATATTAACTTATGAACACGATACGAAAGATTTTCAGGACGAAAGGGGATTTTGTGGATTTGATACCTGATTTGAGCAATAATCTTGTGTTTTCCTTGGAAACGGTTGAGACACAAGTTTTAAGATCAAGCTACAGATTCAACAACACCCATCCGCTTAAAACCTTCTGTCTAGTAGCTTTAATTATGTAGAATAATTCAAAATTTATGAGAACTATTAAATTATGAAGCTGTCTACTTTCAAAGAGTTTTCGAAAGTTTATTCAGAGCTTAATATACAACTTATTGAAGTATACACCACACGTGCACAGTAAAGCCGCACCGTTTGGAACAATCAACTTAATAAAGTGTGAATGTTATCGAAGTCAGAGAGTAATTATCAAGCGGTCAAGATGGATTTATCACTGAAGAAGAAATCGTCATATGATATTGATAGTCTATTGGCAGTGTCGGGCGACCTGAAATCTGACTCACGTGTTCATGACCAGCTAAATGCACCAGGTAAGATATCTTATATAAATTACAGTCAGTTGTATAGTTTTCGTTTCTCTTCAAATGAGTTGAGGTTCGTGGCCGACCCTTGGATTAGTCATATACATGGATTAGTAAAACATTTAACGAGGATGTATTAACATGCTGTAATACATGGTGGAGATACCAATATTTACCAGTTTATGCACATATCTGAATACCGAACTGACGCAATGTCCTTGTTCTCCATAAGCACTCGGATAGTTTTAATTGTTACGCTACCATAACTAAATTATGTTGAACTATGTTTGAGACACCACCGCATATTTTGGTTTTACTTATAAATACCCAATTCATTTAATATAAAATTCGGTCAATATATTTATTTAGATTGTATATTTATTTTACTTGTGTGTATCGCTATGATTTCCTATTATTTATAAATGTTTTGGGTTGGGTGCTTGTTTTTCTTTTCTTTTGTTATTGTTTCTTAATTGTCATGCGATATTGGAAACATTTAAATTTGTGGAAAATTGGTATTTGCAGTGCGTTTCTTTTTTGGGTGGGGGAATTGGTTTGCTTTAGACCTCAAAATTCCTTGAAATTCTTTAGTGGTTTATTCAATAATTATGGAATTGTGTATAATATTGATAAACATTGTATATAAATAGTACAAGTTGTTGCTTATTCCAAAAGGCAATTTAATAGTGTTCCCATTTGTCTATTGTTTATTTATCCGATGTAAATAGGACAAAATAGTTCTCTCCTGGTTTATTGTAGACTATTAAATATATCATTAGACCAGTGTGTATTACTTATATCATTAGATAACATACTATAAAATATAATATTATATTGGGTATATCATTAGATCGGTGTGTATTAATATATAACATATAATAAGATATTACTGTATATTTGGCATATAAGTGTGTATTAAATATATCATAAAATTAGATATACAATTGGCATATCATTAGATCCGCGTGGATTAAAGGAAGGTGATTAAATACAATACTGGTATGATTTAATATTAACTTTGTTTTTCTTAACTACTTTTTTTTTTATTTTACTTGAATTCATTTACTGGCACGTCGTATTTTCTTGCATTTTATAATGTTTGGCATTGTAAAATTTAAATTACGATATAACTCAATTACATAATACTAAACGCCACAATATGTGTGTTTAATAACTTACTTGATATTATTTTGAAAGTTCCAACAGTGGACGAGTTATTGGGATCAGAAAATTCGATTGATGTATGTTACACAAACAAAACAATACAAGTCTTGCTCGATATACAGTTATAAAAGTTCGCCAAAAAATGTTTTTTGTTTTTTTTTTGGTTTTTCTTTTTTTGTTTAAAGCAACACAAAATCTAATAGGGGGTTTTCCTCACACGTGCATACTACAACAAATACCAGCTGAAGTTATTGTAGAAGCAAAGTCAATGATTTATTATTAATTAAAGCCTCCGCGCGTCAATTGCATTTTTCGGAAAATACCCAATCTTGAACGACTTAATCCACGCTAATTAAGAAAAGAAGATCAAAATATGAACGGTAGATATAATCTCGGATTAAAAAGAGACCCATCAGTAAAGATTACAGGTGGCACTGACTTATGACCATATACCGTTTAGGTAGTCTGCAGGGGATACCAAATGTAGACAAATTTTTAATTCACGATATCTTTGTCATTGCAATTGATTAACATTCTCTCAAATGACGATCGGAGACTTTAAGTAAATGTAAAATATGCTCTTGCATAACAAAACGTCCAATTAAAAAATAACTTTGACTAAACAAAGAAAAGAACCTCATGAAATTAATTGAGGAACAAACTATTTAGTATTGCGCGACTAAAATTTATTGGTTCTCGTACATTTTATCCCGAAACCAATCGCGTGTTTACTTGGTCTTTTCCCCCCGAACATGCGTAAATCGATTTTTAAATTGAAGAAATCTTGGAAGATAAATAAATAATGAATTGTTTATACGTTCATGTTATGTGCGATTAATACCCTAATTTTTTATTGAAGTAGTCTTCTATTTACGTCAGGCTCTGTTCTGCTATATTTTCGACAACGGTATGGTACGAACCATGGACTGTCTTGTAGACACACGTAATTAATCAATGCAGTTGTCCAAATTTTGGTCAAAGAAGTAAAATTAGTTGGCTCCTGTAAAATTTACCAGACACACAAAAGATTAGAAAAAACTTCCACAAAGCTCTTTCATGTCGGCCGTTTCAAGGCCTATCGTGGGACTTATTTAACACCGGAAGTTATATCATAGAGACAAAGTCGGTCCGCAGAATGTAACCATCGTGATAACCCGGCGTGCGCTCTGCTCGAGATGCTCACGAGATGTCCTGGCAACCAGGTGCCAAATACCTTATTTGTACAGGGTCAAACAGAACGTGTACATCTTTGATTTTTATCATTTTAGTTCTTTAAGCGACATAAAGAAATGTCCAAAGTCACAGTTTAGAGCTTGTTGCGTTTGTATATTGCCAAAGTTTGTCATTTTTCCGTGCTTCTGATCCGTCTCGCGATAATTCTAGCGTTACTTCCATTTACATTGACACAATTTGAAGATTTGTTACAAGAGTTGTGGGAAATACATGCAGGTGCGCGTGGGTCGAAATCAAATGAATCAATAGATTATAAAATGTATGAGAAAGTAAATAGCAATCAAACAAAATCTCACCAAACGTGAAGAAGGTTTTGTCTGAAAGATTTCCGCTTTCAAGTAATTTTGTTATATGTTCATTGTTTGTTAATTTTAGACTATTGATTGAATAGTGTTTTTTAAACTTAAGGCAAAAAAAAAAAAAAAAAAAAATGACAATAACGCCCGCCCCGCCCCTCCCATCCCATAAAAAAACCCCAAAACAACTACCTACAGCATCAAAATGGCAAGCAAAATAACAAGCAACTGAGTAACTAAAGTATGAATAATAAATGAGCTCAAAATACTTTATGTATAGATTTCACGCTGTATATTTACACAATTAAATTAAATATATGTGCATAAGTACTCATGTATGATTAAGAATAATAGTATAATTAACTCATATATTTCAATGGGTTTTTGATCTATATATTAATATCCGCAATAGTTATTAGTATATTGAATTTTTAATTGTTCACTCAATTAATAGAGAAGTACTTCTTGCTGGTGACCAGAAATATATAACGATGTTTATTATCGGCCGAGTGCTTCTGTTTAATTTTTAAACATCAAGTTTAATCTAAAACAAATATTTGATTTTTTCTGACAATTATCCATAAACGTGTCCTCGATAGTTGCATTATTATTTCCTTCTTCGATCAAAAATCGAAATTCGTCGGACCCGAAACGAAATTGTGCAAGAACATAATAAAATCTAATTCTTTTAATCGTTTTTACAAACATGAAAAAAGTGCCGATATTGGTTAAATTAATTGACAAGTAACGGCGCTAATGTTCTTAAGTTATCGATTTATTTAGTGTATGATTAACGCGAGAATAAACCTTTAAAACTTAATCAGGCCTTTTTAATCATTCGGTGTTTTTATTCAATCCATTTATCGAGGTAATTAATACACTGTTATATATTGACAAGCTCGTGATCCTAACAGCTGGTTTAGTTTCTTGTCGTTTTTTATTGATTCTTACTTTTTATATTAACCCAACTTTGTTCGTTTCTCTGACAAATTAAAGACGATTAAGGCCAATGATTGAAAATATCAAGGTGTTTGTTTCATATAATCTGATTAATTAGGAGCCGGTTGTCCTTATTAAGGAATATTGTGTTTATCTTGGACAAATACCCATGGATTTTATCCTTGTCTCTTGTTATCAATTATTATCAAAGAATTGTTCAAGTAATGCGATATTTAATTCCTGCTTGGAACGGTTCTGAGAACCATGTACATACATTTTGACGTCATTGCAAAGAACTTTAACATTGCAAGCATCTCAAAGGTGACGTCCCAAGAGAATAATTAACAGTTTCCTGGAACAGTGCTTGGAAAGATAAGAAAATACACTTAACGTTTAAGCAAGAATAGATTCGACTAAACTTATTGTTTCACATTTTTAAGATTTCTTTTCGCTCTATTTGCATGTTTTTGTGCCTTGCAAGACGAAAATTTATTAAATAGGGTGAATATTTTGTATTTTAGACACAAGATTGGTTACAAAAAAAGATAGCAGAAATATAATTACTTTTTGTCAGTGTGAAATCCATAAATGACCATAACTTAAGTTAAAATTGATCGAAAAGATTTTTTTTTTTTACCAAAATGTTTGTGTTTCTTAATGAAAGTAATTTTGATTGTGTATGTTGCTATTGGGGCTTTAATACCCAATGCGCTTAATTGTTTTGATGTGCAGTTTTCTCACATATTACCGGCAACTGGCATGCGCAAACACTTGTTTGTATATGTAATTCAACCGGGTTTTTTTTTAAACCGAATAATCCGCACTTTAAACAATGATTAAATATTCGTGTGTGTTTTTTTTAAATTCATTTTTTTAAAAGAGAAAATCTTTGAAGAGATTGATTTATTTTAAACAATAAACCATTTTTGATCCTATAAAATAGAGGGAAAAAAGATCACTGAAAGGATTTTGAGGTGTGGTATAGTGTGGTTAGTTACTTTTATTACAAATTCAATTTGCCCTTCGGCGTTTTATATATAATATTGTATTCTACATCGTCAATATATCAATTTCTACTAATAGAATTTCATTGATTCTATTGATAAAATATGTGTATTAATTTTAAAGACTGTTAACTGTTAAAATACACAGAAGAAAGCACCGAACTTTGTAGTCTGCTAAAAACAAAATATCTTTTTGATTAAAATACAATTTCTCAGTTGATAAATAAAGAAATATTTACTTATTATAGTTAATATTAAATAATTCATGAATTATGTACATGAAACAGTATGGCTTCTAAATTATATACAAGATTTATACATGTAGGACAGTATATAGTTTTTATTTATATATATCACCTGAGTTACCCGGCAT